CAGTGAGCCACTTAAAGTCATCCCATTTATTTGTTCCTGTCAATGACAATGACAGGAACGCCTTAAATTTTAGGTGTCCTCTAGGGCTGAAACAATTAATCAATTTTATCGATTATTCAAATAATTGTCAACTGATTTAGTAATCGATTGATTGTTAAATGGAGTATAGAGGCTGTAAAACTTGCCTTTAGCTGACAGAGCGACCCACTTAGAGCAGTAATTATATCAACATTGTAAAAAAATATATAAGGTTAGCATTTAAGACAAAAAAAAAAAAAAATGAATCTGTCAATATGCTCTATCCAAAACTCCTCGAGTGGAAAAGTTGGAGCTTCGCCTGGTTTGATTTTCTAAAAATTCTTCTTCAAAGAATCTTTGGCTATCCGTTATTTAATTAATTAAAGATAATCGAAAGATTAATGGATTTGCAAAATAGTCGTTAGTTGCAGCCCTAGATTCCTCACATGGAAGAGGAGGGCAGAGCGTGTTTAACATAAAGAATCTAATAAAAAGAGTCTAACAGAGATGATCTCATGCAGGGGAAAAGGCCAACATTATTTTTGTTGATTTAAAGCATTAAATCTATTTAGACATTGCATAGGAGTTGAGACACTGAGGCTGACAAAAAATAAAAAAACGGACACAGATTAAAGTTGAAAAACTTTTATTTTATATTATGTCTATATGTCAGTGTTACTAAAATAAATCTGTTGTGGATATTTTTGACTTCTTCTGCATCATCTATTGAGACAGCAGCATCAGAGCAGATGTCCGAAATAAGTTCAACAAACTGATAAAGAAAGTCAGCTCTTACGTATCAGGAATCCAATCTAGAACCTCTAGAGATAATTTTACTGGGAAGTATTCCTTTTAAAATAAAGATGGTCAAACTGAGCATCGTCTTCATCATATTGTCATACCGTAAACAGAGTGTATTTGCTCAGAGGCGTTTCCAGATCTTTTGCAAGACAGACCCCTACAGGAGATCCTTCCTATCTACAGTCAAGTATCTACAAAAAGGGTTAAAGAAACCTTATAATATAAGTTACAGCGTTTAATTTAATATTTGGAGTCGTTAGATTGATTTGACCTGTATTGATATAAACTGAATAAATGATCTCACTGTTAGGGTTGTTAAGTTTCCCCAACTTTAACCTATACAGAATGAAACAAAGACAGTGTAAGATTTTTCCTGACCGTTCTTTGCAAAGGGAAAATACACAGAGCTTTAGAACTACTCTGTGCATCTTCGTCTTGCTCTACGCTTGCAGGCTTATTTATTGAACAGTCAACAGATTACAACAGCAGGTGTTAGTTTCGATTACGCAATCTCTAAGACATAGCATGAACTTTTAAGGTAGGGAACATGTCTGGTTTCAGTATACGCTTTTAAAAAAGGTGTCGGGGGTCATGAACATTTAATTTCTGTGTTTCTTAAATGAAAAACAGGAAAGCATTCTTGCAAAACATTTGACCGTTTTATGACCTGCATACACTATTTCCACTCATGAGAGTAACATAGAAAAACACATGATTAAAAGTAATATAAAAGATCTAAATGAATAAAATGATTATTTATATTTAAATAATTCTGTCCTTTTTTCATAACTTTTTTATTAAATAAGGTCAAAACTGGTTCAGATGAAGGCTTTTGTGTTTGTTTTTTTATTGTTAATAATAATAAAAACACATCACTGCTTTATTATCTTTCTCTCTTATAAAGATAAGGGGAGAGCAAATACAGAGATAAATTATTAATAGTTAAAAGTAAAAATAGCGTCTCCAAGCAGACGTTTCTTAAGAAAACATCCCACCCCACATCCTATATTCAAGCACAAAAACTGTGCTAGATTTGTACTCGTTATGCTTTGACCTCTTAGAGGAAATCCAAATAAAACTGCAATTGCTTTAAATGGTGTAACTTTCTGCTTTAATGTTAGTGTTCCTGGGAAAGAACCATAGAGTTAGTATGTTCTCTCTTAATGTCAGGGATAAAACATCAGAAAATTGACTTACCCCAGTATTCTGATTCAGCCTTCTTCAGATGGCCATGTCACCTCAAAATGAAGGATGCTGTGTGCAGAAATCCTACCACAAAATCAGCTGCAGCTTGATCCCCACACAATAAAAACATCTAATGTAACCGGATTTAATCAAAAGTTCAGGAGCAAGTGTTCAGTCCAGTGTTGATTAGACAGCATGATTAAGGGTTAGCTAAAGGTTTGGGAAACCACAGAGTGTGTTATTTTTCTCAGATAGATGTTTACTGATTAAAAAAAAAGATTATTTCAGTCAGAGAAGTGGATGTTGCTGCAAAATCAACTGCTTCTTCATGAAACATCATTCTCAGGGGAACAGTGGCGGATCTAGGGGGCGGCTACTTGGGCTGCAGCCCCCGATGTTTTCCCAAGAGCCCCGGTTCTCACTTCTGAGCTGATCTGAGTAAAATGTGCAGTACTGGAATTCACCAGATACTGGCAGCATGCGCAGGAAAGCAGCCTGTAGACTTAGACTTAGACTTCCTTTGTTGTCATTGCACAAAAAAAACCCAAGGTGAATCTTGACAACGAAATGTCGATTACTTGGCTACCAGTGAAACAGAGCTAAGACCTTATTCCTGCACAATAAATATGTTTTCTATGAGTAAGAGATAGCTATATACAGGGTAAAGAGTTAATATATACATATATATTGCACTGAGTTATTGTAGAGAAGTTGTCTCCAATAGCTGTTGCTAAACAGACTGATGTCCCAGGTATGTGAAGCCCTGAATGACTTCTAGATGCTCTTTATCCTGGTGTTGTATAAAATTCTGTTTTCCTTGTGTCGGGAGCACGCATTTTAGCCAGAGAGGCGGACATGGTGGATGGGACCATTTTCATGGCACTTCTAAATGTTTTCTTGCTAAAAACAACTCATATAATCATGTTAAGGTTGTAACATCCAGTTTAATCAGCAGCTGTTCTTTATATAATTGTAAAATTAATAAATAGACGAGGTCCTTTTAAGCTGTTTTGTGTTGTTTTTTTTGTTTTTTTTTAAAGCCAAGAGAATCTGTCTTTTTCCAACTTCTGTCAGTTAAGCCTGACAGAAATAAAAGTCAGTCACCAAACACAGTTTTCCAACATGTAGTGTGTATTTAGCATTTTACATTGGTGATATAAGAGGATGGAAACTGGCTGATAGCAGGACACAAAGATTAAGAGTTCCTGAGAGTTTAGACTTCCTGGTTAATCCCGTTCTAATGTAAAATAGGACAGATTACTGGATTAAAGACATTTATAGTATACAACATGCTATCACACATAACAATTTTTGAGAATTTGGGAAGAGTTGTTCTTAATTTCCCAAAGATATGGGAGAAGGAGAGGAGAGAATGGATATTTCAGCTGCCTAAAATAATTTGTTCCCCCTCCATAAAATGTGAAGAAATTAATTCACCTGCAAGTATTTGACTGTGTGTATTCCTCTCTTCATAAACAACAAATTCTGTGGATTTGGTGACATTTGATAATTATTTGCCAAAGTTAGGAGGGGTGAATCATATATTTTAGCCACCTGATATAATCTGTTCCCCCTTTGATGATCTTTATGAAATATATTTTCTGTTTATATGTTTATCTAACAAATATTTTTAAAAAAAGTTCAAACCAAAACCACTGGACTTTGTTTCCCAAGTTTGAAGACGTTTCCCTTTCCATCCTGAAAGCTTTTTCCATCCAAAATGTCTGAAGTGATGCTACTCCAGACATTTTGAATTGAGATTTGAAAATACATTAAATAAAGCTCATCAAAGCAACACATTTTTTTATTTGAGCTATTTTGGATTTCAAAATGTACACTGCAAAAACAATCCAGAAATAAGTAAAAAATGGCTTAAATTAAGTATATTTAGCCTTAATTTGAGCAGGTAAATAAGATGATTTGCCAATGGAATGAGTATTTTCACTCTTAAAATAAGATAGTTAGATAATATTTACTTGAAATAAGACGATAAAATAGTTTTTTCTTATTTTAAAAGGAAATTGTCTTGTTCCATTGGCAAAGTGTCTTACTTATCTCCTCAAATCAAGGAAAAACACACTTATTTTAAGAAAAAATAACTTATTGAGATTTATATTTTTTGCAGTGTAAAATAATAAATGTTTCAAGCATGATATAGAAAAATAATGACAGTTTCAAACTTTTTTTCCCCATGTTATGGAGGGGGAACGGATTATATCAGGTGGGTGAAATATTTGATTTCCCTCTAATAACTTTGGCAAATAATGATCAAACGTCATCAAATCCAAAGAGTTTGTTGAAGAGAGGAATGAACACAGTTAAAGACTTGCAGGTAAATTAATTTCTTCCCATGTTATGGAGCCGGAATTGTTATGTGTGTTAGCATGCACTAGAAATTTATACTAGAAATTTACATACTAGAAATTTCTTTAATCCAGTAATCTGTCATATTTTACATTAGAACGGGATTTAGCAGAAAGTCTACGCTCTCATTTTCACCCTCAGGGCTAAGCCCCTGATTTCCTAGAATCCTGGATCCTCCCCTGCAGGAGAATATAAAAGTTTTAGGATAACCCTTGAGAGTCATGACCTAAATCACAGAGAACCTTTGGGATTTCATGGAAAAAATCATGTCGTCTCTGATTTCTTTGCTCTCACAGACAAAACCTTCCACAGTGTTGCTACAGGACAGAGCCGGCCCGAGCCTCTTGGGGGCCCTAAGCAGAATTTGATTTGGGGGCCCCCCCTCCTACCATGCAGAATCACCTATACTAGAAGATTACTGACACAAATGTCACACTATAATGTTATAGGGAATATTAAAAATGAATAGACTATGGTAATGTATTAATACAAAATAGATAAACAATACTTACAATACTTTGTTTTATTAAAACTTTTGAATACAAACATTAAATAAATTATTTGCAAATGTGCATTAAATGTGCAATATTTAAATAAAACCAATATAGACAAACATTAATATCAAAAATAATTTGCAACAGAAGCAGTAAACATCATCACTTTTCTTTGAATAAATTAGCCAGCTTCGCTTGATTTTTTTCCCCATTAACTAATTGTCTGTATGTATAGTGGTAGTGAAAGCTTCATCCATCTGATCTCTTGGGGAATGTAGAGGTGTCACTGATTGGCGCTGGCCCTCTTCTTACCAGATCAGTCCTTTCTGAATCTGAGAGGAATGCTGACCATTCAACTGGGTCAATTGGAGGAGCTGTTGATCCATCTTGATAGCTGGAGCTTGTTGAGGCAGTGGATGGGAAATCTATAGCAGTTGGTTCAGATGTAGAAGGACCTGTAGGGACAATAGATTAAATACAAAAGAATAAAATACCATAGCAGAAAATGTTATTGTAAAGCCAACACAAAACAAAAACTTAGATTAACAGACCTGTCATGCCGGCTGAGTTTGAAACCAGTGGATCAGTAAATGTAGGTGCTTGTAACTGCTCCTCGCTTTCAGTCACATGTAATTGCTCCTCCCTTGTTGTCGCTTGTGCAGTGGATGAACCTGCAATGATAAAACAAACAAAGAAAAAATAAAGAAATAAATAAAAAGCTAAATGTTTCATGTCATATTAACAGGCTATGTAACCATTTGCCATCAAGAAAACCCTCACCTGCTGCATCATCAGCTGTGGAGGCACTGACACTCGAAACAGTAGGGGCAGGTTTGGTTGTTCTCCAAAGTACTTCAACAGTGTTCCTGGGAAAAATAGCATTGCATAATGCATAGTTTTTATTTATTTATTTATTTCGAACAGACAGTTAAAAACAATCAAGAAAGAAAAAATTTGAATGAAACAAACTTAAGAATGAAAATATAAAAAAAATTATTTTGCACATGTGACATGCAAATTTTATATTTTCTGTTCGAAAAGGAGCAGGTAGAAGATACATCTTATAATGTCCCGCCCCTTTCCTACTTGTCAATTTATCATCAATTAACTGTCAAAACATCAAAAAACCAAAAAAACACTTGTTTCCATTCCACATGATGTTTAGCCATGTACAATTATTTTAAGTACTATTTATGTCATCAATTACATTATAGACTATTAAACAGTCATCTTATATAGCGTATTTTGAAATGAGCTCGGTTTTAATCAGTTTTTTAAATTGGTTTGCATTTATAATTTTTTTAAACTCGTCATTCAATCCATTCCAGACATTTATCTCCACACACAGATAAACAAAAACTCTTCCTGTTTGTTCTAAAGTGTTGTTTTTTAAAGTATCCTTCACCTCTTAGATCATAACCCCCCCTCTCTGACACCAAACATTTCCTGTATATTGTGTGGAAGTTTTTGATTTCGGACCTTAAACATTAATTGTGAAGTTCTAAATATGACCAGGTCCCAGAATTTCAGTATATTTGATTTGATAAATAACTGGTTTGTGTGTTCCCAGTATCCCACTTTATGTAATATTCGGATTGATTTTTTTTTTTTGTAAAACGTATAATGGCTGTAAATTTGTTTTATATGTATTCCCCCAAACTTCCACACAATATGTTAAATGTGGTACAATAAGTGTGCTGTACAAAATAAACAAAGATTTGTAGTCCAGGACGAAACTAATTCTTATAACAGCAACACTTTTGGTTATTTTAGATTTTACTAGGCTGATCTGAGGTTTCCGGCTAAACTTATCGTCTAATATGACACCCAAGAATTTTATTTCATGTACTTGTTCTAAATCAACACTTTCAATTGATATTTTAATTGGATTATTTTCCTGTTTTTTATTGTTTCCGAATATCATGAATTTGGTTTTATCTAAATTTACTGATAATTTATTGTAGAATTAGTTTATTTTCCCATCTTGCACTACAAGAAACTCCACACCTCACCTAACAATTCATATTCTATTGGCAAATAAGGCATAATTGCCATATGGTAAAAACGTAACATTGTGATCTACTGCAGCCTAAATATGAGGAAAGCACCATGTTAATAAAACTGCAGTCTATTTTCATTTTTGGTATATTTTCTAATAAAGATAAAATACCATCTCTCACCAAAGATCTTAGAGCAGAGAGCGCATGTGCTTTGTCTATTAAGTTAGTAGATTCATTTTAACACAAACAACAATGCTAGCTAAGCTGGCTGCTGGCATCTGTGTTTTCTCCAACTTAAACCGATATCTATCCATCCAACCATTATCTTCCGCCTATACGGGGTTGGGTCGCGGGAGTAGCAGCTTCAATAGCGAGGCCCAGACGTCCCTCCCCTCCGGGGGAATCCCAAGCAGGCGTTCCCAGGCCAGGCCAGCCGAGAAACATAGTCCGTCCAGCATGTGCTGGGTCTCCTACGCCGATATGTATCAACACATAAAATACACACCTACCTAAATAAATGTATATTAATAACGGGTAATATTTCACTGTTAATGGTGATGGATGGCTGATAAATATCACGACATGAGTTATGATGACGAGCTAGCTGTGCTGCTGCTGCACAAAATATAGCGGTCAGTAAATAATCATGCAAACATACCTTTATCTTGCTCTTTTTTCTCTTCCTCTTTCCTTTTCTTTTTTCGGCACCAGAGGGATAAATCCTTTTTTGTGACATGGCTTAGACTTTCTTATTAACAGGTGCGCGCCAGCGTGAATTGTCAATGCAGGCGCGCGCCGCGTACCATGAGCTGTCTGCGGCTGCCGTCGTGAAGTGAATGCACATGAGCAGTTGTTGACAAATCAGAAATTATTTTGTCTTGAATTTTTCATTTATTAATTGGTATTCATCATTTATATCACTTGTTTAAGTTATTTAAATGTAAAAAAAAAAAAAAAATTGACCAGGGCCTGTTCAATCGTTTTTGCTTGGGGCCCCCTGGCCACCAGGGGGCCCTAAGCGGCCGCTTAGTTCGCTTATGCCTCGGGCCGGCCCTGCTACAGGAGATACACTATATTGCCAAAAGTATTTGCTCACCCATCGAAATTATTGGAATCAGGTGTTCCAATCACTTCCATGGCCACAGGTGTATAAATTCAAGCACCTAGGCATGCAGACTGTTTTTACAAACATTTGTGAAAGAATGGGTCGCTCTCAGGAGCTCAGTGAATTCCAGCGTGGAACTGTGATAGGATGCCACCTGTGCAACAAATCCAGTCGTGAAATTTCCTCGCTCCTAAATATTCCACAGTCAACTGTCAGCTGTATTATAAGAAAATGGAAGTGTTTGGGAACGACAGCAACTCAGCCACGAAGTGGTAGGCCACGTAAACTGACGGAGCGGGGTCAGCGGATGCTGACGCGCATAGTGCGAAGAGGTCGCCAACTTTCTGCAGAGTCAATCACTACAGACCTCCAAACTTCATGTGGCCTTCAGATTAGCTCAAGAACAGTGCGCAGAGAGCTTCATGGAATGGGTTTCCATGGTCGAGCAGCTGCATCCAAGCCATACATCACCAAGTGCAATGCAAAGCGTCGGATGCGGTGGTGTAAAGCACGCCGCCACTGGACTCTAGAGCAGTGGAGACGCGTTCTCTGGAGTGACGAATCGCGCTTCTCCATCTGGCAATCTGATGGACGGGTCTGGGTTTGGCGGTTGCCAGGAGAACGGTACTTGTCTGACTGCATTGTGCCAAGTGTAAAGTTTGGTGGAGGGGGGATTATGGTGTGGGGTTGTTTTTCAGGAGCTGGGCTTGGCCCCTTAGTTCCAGTGAAAGGAACTCTGAATGCTTCAGCATACCAAGACATTTTGGACAATTCCATGCTCCCAACTTTGTGGGAACAGTTTGGAGCTGGCCCCTTCCTCTTCCAACATGACTGTGCACCAGTGCACAAAGCAAGGTCCATAAAGACATGGATGACAGAGTCTGGTGTGGATGAACTTGACTGGCCTGCACAGAGTCCTGACCTCAACCCGATAGAACACCTTTGGGATGAATTAGAGCGGAGACTGAGAGCCAGGCCTTCTCGTCCAACATCAGTGTGCGACCTCACAAATGCGCTTCTGGAAGAATGGTCAAAAATTCCCATAAACACACTCCTAAACCTTGTGGACAGCCTTCCCAGAAGAGTTGAAGCTGTTCTAGCTGCAAAGGGTGGACCGACGTCATATTGAACCCTATGGATTAGGAACGGGATGTCACTTAAGCTCATATGTGAGTCAAGGAAGGTGAGCAAATACTTTTGGCAATATAGTGTATATCCCTGCTAAAAATAGCTTCTGTATGTTTTTCATAATTTAAACTAGATTAACTCTTTTTGTGTTGATTTAGTTAATGTCATGAGGCGGTGTTTGTATGGAGGACCTGAATGCAGAGACCAGTAGGCAGAGGTGAATTAAAGTCGGTTTATTGAAGTTCTCAGATCCAAGGGCAGGAATCAAAGTCCAACAGAAAACTACTAACGCACCTGAACCAAGGAGACATCAGGGGAAAACCAAAACTAGAAGCCAGGGAGAGACGAGAAACACAGACAGAAGTTAGACGAGGATCCAGCAAACAGGAACTGAAGAGGGAGGGCTTTTAAAGGGGACAGAGACAAAGAGAGAGCTAACGAGGGAATTGAAAACAGGTGCAGGCAGAACAGAAAAACAGAGCAAGGGAGGACACAAGAGGGCAACAAATGGAAAACCAAGAAAAACAGGAACAAACAGACCAAGACTCTGACAGTTAAACTGTTGTGACTCTATGTGTTTCTCACATAACTAAGTTCACATACATAAAATAACAGAGTGAACATGAAGCATCTCTTCTCTCAGCTGTTTAAATTAGGAATAATTAAAGAAATAGTGGATCATGCAGTCAGTTATCAGCCTGGTGACATCACAACAGGGCTTTTTCTGTGTCCTACCTTAAAGTTAAAACAGAAAACCAAGTTACAGAATTACTATTATTTGCAAGTAATGTTTTAATCTTATTTGATTTCTAATCTTTAAAGCAACACGAAGTAACAATCTTGCCCTAATATATCCTACTTTAAACCCCTGAGATGCTAATTCAAGTGTTTATGAGATGATTGAAGGGTCTGTCACCCCCCACTGTCTCTGGCCAGAAAACCAAACTTACAATTTTTGGTGGCACCGACCCCCATGGCAGTCTGATCTCTGTGCTCATTCTTGCAGTAAGACAAGCAGCTTTATGGCAGCCCAATACCAAGTCATTGACATAAATAACCACAATCCCCTTCCTCCGTTAAGCCGGACATACACTGTACGATATTTTCAAACGTTGTACTCTGTTAAAGCTCAAACTGCACAGCGGAACTACAGTGTTTAAAAGTTCACAGTTCACGATTCGTGTTCTTACACTGTACGCCCCAATGCTCTGATGATCTAACTGCTCAGACTATACATTTAAAAAAAAAACACACGTTAAACTTGGAGCCAAGAGATGCCGTTGGTTGGACCGGTCATTCTGGAAGAAGAAGGAGTCTTTTAACTTTTAACAACACTTTATTTACACAAATCAAAACATATAAATAATTGACGTAAATCAATTGTCAGTTAAAAATCCCTATTAAGACAAAAACAAGTGTCGGCTAAAAATCATTAAATGAGGAGCTTGTTAAAATGTAGTTCTTGGGCGTGCAGGTGGCGCAGTGGTTAGCGCGCACGACCCATGTAGTGCCTTAGTCCTAGTGCCGTAAAAAAAATTTGTTCTCCTTAATCTGACACAGCACATAAAATGTTAAAACCCTACAACTGAATAAAATCCTCCCTGTTCTGTGTGGCTCTGTGGAAGTAAAACTCCAGCCTTATTCTGGCTTTAACGTTGCACTTCCACAGAGCCACGGCATCAAGGTGAGGGGCCTCCTGCAGTCTGTCTCTACGGGACAGGTAAATGGCCATCTTTGCTTCGCTGTTTAAGAAACAAAACAAAAGTTGGGCCTTTGGCTTATTTCTTCTGTTTTGGCAAACTCCTACTATAAAAAAGCGTTTGTAAAAACCGTTCCAAAAAACTAAATACACTAATATAAGGCTAAAAATTGTCTTTAGTCTCGTGCAATCCATAAAAATGTGTTAACGTGGAACACATTTTCAGACACACTGCAGAAAGGACACTCGTTTAAAACGCCCTGATTAATAACAGATAAAAACGAGTTTGTGGCGATGACACCATGGAAGAAGAAGAAGAAGAAGAAGAAGAAGAAGAAGAAGAAGATTTTTAACAAAACATTTATTTAACAATGAATTATCAACAAACAGTTAAAAAACTCAGGTCATCAGGACATCATTATAAAAGCAGCTTGTTATATTTCAGCTCTCCTGACTCAGAAATGGTGCACAACACATTGTTAAAACCCCACAGTTGTGTAAAACCCTTCAAATCCCCAGTGGCTCTGTGGAAGCAGAACTCCAGCCTCAACCTGGCTTTGATGTTACACTTCCACAGAGCCACCGCATCAAGCTGAGGTCCTTCCTGCAGTTTGTCTCTTCGTGTCAGGTAAATGGCCAAAATGGCTTCAGAGATTAAATAATTTAAAATTCTGGATTTGAAGGCAGTGGCTCGGTTATAATGTACACCATTGATAAAAACGGAATGGGTAAAAACCACACTAAAAAGGCTAAAAACATTCATTAAAAAATTGAAAAAACCAGTCAGTCGTACACAATCCATAAAAACGTGAAACACACTCTCGGGCAAACTGCAAAAAGGACATTTGTTTAAAACCTCAGGACTGATGACAGATAAAAACGCGTTTGTAGCAATGGCGCCGTGAAGTATCCTCCATTGAAGGTCACCAGTCCGTTTCTTGATGGGAGGCTTGTACAAAGTCCTCCACTGAGGGTTTTGTCCTCCAAATTTGTCTGCCTAGACGTTTGTTGCCCTTTTGTAGAGAGTTCTCCTGTTTAGAACTTTAGTGCAAGTTTTATATATTGTTTTTGGGTCCGTCTTGCACAGATCCATCCTCTGATTTTGTAGTAGGGGTCCGCTGTCCTCCCCAAAGTCTGGATCCATGCACACGTCCGGGAACGGGTCACTCGTGTCAGGCGGGCGCTTTCCGGTGGCGTGCATCTGTAGGAGCCGTCTCTCCCCAGCAGTCATCCGCTCTTTCAGGCGCTCCAGAAAGCGCCGCACCAATCTGGCGGACCGGACCCCCAGCAGCGAGCGGACCTCCTCGACGCCCGAGAAATCCGGCCCGGCGACCCGCACCAGATGCCTCAGGGTCACCGTTCCCGACCTGGACAGCGTCTCGGGAAGGCCAGGCACGGAGCTGTCGTGGACGTCCAGCCTCGCTCCACACACCAGCGGTTCTTCCTAAAAGCCAATGCAGAGAGTTATGCGTTTTGGACCTGTGCAATTTAAAAAAAGCACATGATTTAAAAACACTTTGATAAAATTGAGGTAACCCTTTTATCTTTAAGAGACTTAAGTCTGTTAAAAACAGAGCAGCATCCAGCCCCAGAGAGTTTACACGTCTCAGAATGCAGCTGGCCACGTCTTTCCACACGGGGTTTTCTGTGAGGAACTTCTGAAGGAACTGTAAACGAAAAGTGGCTGTTCTGGCGGCCAGGTGGACAAGGCCCTGGCCCCCCTCCTCTCTTGGTAAAAACAAAACAGACTGTGGCACCCAATGTCGACCGCTCCAGAAAAAATTCACCATCTCTGACTGTATTTTTACGAGAAGGTCAGAGGGTGGGTCTAAAACAGAGAGTTTGTGCCACAGCTGTGAAGCGATAAGATTATTTAAAACCAGTACTCTGCCCCTATAGGACATCTGGGAGTGCAACCACTTCCATTTTCCCAACCTGGTTTTTATTTTTCCTTCTACTTCCTCCCAGTTTTTCTTTAAAAAAGCTTCACTGCCTAAAAACACACCAAGGTACTTAAAACCATCTTTCCTCCACACCAGACCTCGAGGGAGAACTGGGAGCCTGACGGACCACTGTCCGACGGCCAGGGCTTCGCTCTTTGCCCAGTTCACCCTCGCGGCGGACAAGACTGAAAACTTTTCAGTTACCTCGGTTAAAAGACTGACATCCCGTTGATCCTTTATAAAAACAACAACGTCGTCAGCGTAGGCAGATAAAACCATATGATTAGTAAAACCGGGTAAAACCAGACCGTAAACACTCGAACGTATTTTCTGAAGGAGGGGTTCCAGGGAGAGCGCGTAGAGCATCCCCGAGAGCGCGCAGCCCTGTCGGACGCCTCTACACACCCTAAAAGGAGCACACAGGCTACCGTTGATCTTCAGCACACTCTCTATGCCACTGTACAGTACCTGGATCTTGGCGATGAGACCCTCGCTGAACCCAAACCCCCTCATGGTTTTCCAGAGGAAGCCGTGTTCAACGCGGTCAAACGCCTTTTCTTGATCTAATGAAATCAAGCCGACTTGTAAACCCAATGAACCGGAGACCTCCAAAACATCCCGAATCAGGTAGACGTTGTCTACCATGGACCTGCCGGGGACGCAGTAGGTCTGATCTCGGTGGATGACCTGCTCCATAGCTTTTCCCAGCCTCACCGCCAGAGCCTTGGAGAGGATCTTGTAATCGGTACAAAGGAGGGACACGGGGCGCCAGTTCTTGACGTCTTGCAGGTTGCCCTTTTTGGGGAGCAGGGTGATGACCGCCCTGCGGCAAGACAAGGGGAGCGAACCGGCGACCAGACTCTCCCTGCAGACGTCTAGCAGGTCTTTTCCCAGAAGGTCCCAATAGGCCTTGAAGAACTCGACGGTGAGTCCATCAATGCCAGGGGACCTCTGGCCCTGCATGCCGAGGAGGGCTGTGTGGAGTTCCTGGAGCTCCAGGGGACGCTCCAGCTCGGTGTTGGTCTCCATAGAGACCTGGGGTAGTTCTGTGCAGAACTCCCGGAACAGATCCTCGTTCTCTTTGTATTCGCTCCGGAACAGAGAACGGTAAAAACCCACAGCCCTCTCCCTGATCTGACCCGGTTCGCTCAGTTGTTGCCCCGTGTCCGACAGCAAAGAGTGGATCAGCTTCCTCTGACCGTGCTTCCTCTCCAGGCTGAAAAAAAAGCTAGAGGGAGCATCCATCTCTGTGATGTTCTGGACCCGAGATCGGACCAATGCGCCTTGGACTTTTGACTCCAGCAGGTTGGCTAACGCTAGCTGTTTAGTTTTGAGAGCTTCAATGTGCTCTCGATTTCCTGTGGATCCGCTGAGTTGCTCTAAGTCCACGATGTTCATCTCCAGATCTCTGATAGATCTGGTAATGTCACGAGTGACGTTGAGAGTATGCTGTTGACTCAGCAGTTTTATCTGAACTTTCCCATAGTCCCACCACTGTCTAAGAGAGGTAAAATCTGACTTTCTCCGTCTAAAACCAGTCCAAAAATAACTTAAAGTCTCCTTAAAACCTCGATCGTGAGTTAAAGCAGAGTTAAAATGCCAGTAAGCGCTTCTCGGTAAAATGTTTCTAATAAAAACACTACCTAAAAGCAACGAGTGATCCGTAAAAGCCACCGGTAAAATCTGGCATGCCTTAAACACGTTAAAATGGTGTTTAAAACAATAAATACGATCAAGCCGAGCTAAAGAGATTCTGTTTTCATTGATGTGGGACCATGTGTACTGCCTGGAGCCAGCGTGCATCCTCCTCCATACATCCACCAGGCTGTGAGACAAGACCAGCTGCCGCAGAGCGTGTTGGGCCGCTGGATGCGGCTCTGGATGATTGCGGTCTAAAAGCTCATTTTCGGTACAGTTAAAATCCCCGCCTAAAAAAACATAATCATCACACCCACAATCACCCAACTTTCCCCCAATTTTTTCAAAAAAACGCTTTTTCTCTGCATTGGTGATAGGTGAATAAATATTGATAAAAACGATGCTAAAAAGATCAAACTTTGCTTTGACTAAAAGACACCTCCCCTGAATGACGTGCTCAACTTCTGTAGATAGTGGGGTGAATGTTCTGGAGAAAAGGATCCCCACCCCAGCACTCTGGGAGGTGCCGTGGCTTAAGATGACCTCCCCCCTCCACTCTCTACTCCAGTCTGCTTCAGTTAAAATATCACTATGGGTTTCTTGTAAAAACACAACATCGATTCTTTTTTGTTTTAAGGTTTGATAAATTAAAGCACGTTTTTCAGCCTCCCTCGCCCCGTTAAGATTCAAAGATGCTATTTTAAAAGAATCCATAATGGGTAAGAAGCTAAAAAAACACACCAAAAAACTATAAAAAGTAATAAAAAGCTGTTGTGCATCATTAAAGCTGTTTTCTGACTTTGGACATTATTTTCCTTAATCTAAAGATCTGTCTATCAGTTAAACCTGATGACCCCTTGTTGCTGATGTGATGTCTTGCAGATGAATAAAATAATCTTAAATAAGGAAAATATGCCTCTATTTTTAATCCCTTAAAACCTTTTGTATTTACTAAAAAATCTCTAAAAGACTCTGCAGGGTATAAAGGCTCCTTATCGCTGGACTGTGACAGAGAGAGCTCACTGGTGTCAGAGACCCAGCTCTCAGCATCGCTGCTGTCTGACTCTTCCTCCTTCTCTGCAGCCTGCTGGCTGGCCTGTTTGCTGGCCAGCTTGCTGGCTTGTGCAGCAGCCACCACATTCTTCCTCTTACTTTTTCTTTTAGGTGCTGAAGCCTCCAGCTCCATCACCTCCTCTGCTTCACCCCTCTCTCCCTCCACGCCACCTCCACAAAACAACTCCACACTGTTTTCAGTCGATCTTTCAACCTGTCCTCTAACCTCCACCTCACCTTTCTCTCCCTGAACTCCACACGCCAAATAGCCCTCATCACCCTTCACCTCCTCCTGCTCTCCCTGCACACCGTCTCTCTCCCCACCTGCGCTCTCAGCCTCACCACCATTCACCCCATCACCACTCAGCACCGTGCTCCCATCCTTCCTCACACACACAATCATCTTAACAGATTTCACAGTTTTCATGACTGACGCCTCAACAATACCTGGAGCAGGCTCCTCCACCATAGGCTCCTCCGCAGCCGCCGCACGTCCCTCCGACACCACCGCGGCAACCCCCGCCGCAGCAGCAGCAGCGGGCCCCTCCGACGGAGCAGGGGCGGGCTCCTCCACCGCAGCAGCGGCGGGCTCCTCCACCGCAGCAGCAGCAGCCACACTAGGCGGAGGCCCCATCTGCTCAGCAGCAGCGGGCCTCCTCCACCGCAGCAGCGGCGGGCCTCCTCCACCGCAGCAGCGGCGGGCTCCTCCACCGCAGCAGCGGCGGGCTCCTCCACCGCAGCAGCAGCAGCCACACTAGGCGGAGGCCCCATCTGCTCAGCAGCAGCGGGCCTCCTCCCGGCCCCATCAGGGCACACTTTAATTACGTGTCCCTCCTGTCCACAACCAAAGCACTTCATGTTAGAGGAGGTTGCAAAAAGCATGTAGTCGAATCCATCCAATCTAACATGAAAGCGGAGATTGAGTTCCTCATCACGCTTGTTTAATATCATAAACAGTTGTCTCCTATGGGAGACAACATGTTTTAACAGAGGTGATTTACACCCCGACATCACCTTCTTAATGGGTGAAACCACCTTACCGTGTCGGGACAGTTCTTTGATCAGGAACTCGTCACTGATGAACGGAGGGACGCTCGACAGAGTGACTCTGGTTGCAGGCAGTGTCAATGGGGAAACTTGCAGAAACAACCCATTGACAGAGATGCCTGCTTCCACCAGCCGCTGAGCCTGCTCCACTTTCTCCACAAATAAGACGACAGCTCCACTCATGCGAGCTGCCGACTTAATGGACCCATGTCCAACAACCTCCCCCACAGCCAGACACACGTCCTCCACGCTGCACGGAGAACCGGCGCCCACCTTGATGCCGTTCTTCCGTGTCAGCGTGGAGAAACCTCCCGCACTCCCCACCACCACCATGGCGTGCAGAGACGCCGACTGCCGCCGGGCAGAACCCGACGGCCCCACAACCCACAAAAAAAAAAACACCAGCAACTATTAAACAACAAAAAACACAATTATATACACAATATTTACATACACCAAGTGAAAAAATGAAAGAAAAAGTAAGAAAAATCCACTCAAACAGAGTTTTTCTCACGCGCTCTCTCTTCCACTTCTCCACTCACACTCCTCCCACACGAAGAAGAAGAAGAAGAAGAAGAAGAAGAAGAAGAAGAAGAAGAAGAAGAAGAAGAAGAAGAAGAAGAAGAAGAAGAAGAAGAAGAAGAAGAAGAAGAAGAAGAAGAAGAAGAAGAAGAAGAACTACTCCCATATTTGCAGATGTGCTGTACGGAATCTGAAAAAGTTGGCTCATAGCTCTGCTTCAGCAGTAGGATTTGCTCTCAACCACCTCACGAGGGCCAACTTCATTTCCAAAATGTTTGATTATTTATCCCAACCTTATGATTCCTGATCAGGAGGTTGTCGAGAGCATTAGAAAATATATAGAGGTTGAATCCCCTTATAAGAGCAAAGAAACTGGTTTGTGTTATACTGGAGTGGCAAACTCTAACTTCACTGACTTGTATAAAAGTAACAATTTGCAGCAAAAAGGGCAACTGTACACTTGTACATTATAAATATATTGTCCAATATCACCGATCTCTTCAGATATGTCACTGGGAAATTCTTTTTCCAGCTCAAAATTACTGAAATGAAATAATCGATGTGAAATTCCTCGGCAAGTTCTGGAACTGCTCCACACCAGACATGGGCAATGTGGAGTCAACAAGTCATCTCCATGTCATGTATTTGATCTACCCAGCCAATTAACCAGGTGAGTCCAATCTGCACAGGGTAATTCACGGTGAAGATTGGACTCACCTGCTTCAGTGGCTGGGTGGAACAAATACATGACATGGAGATGACTTGTTGACTCCACATTGCCCATGTCTGCTCCACACTGAGGTGAAGATAGGCCTGGAAACTGTCACTTCAAAAAAAGTTCTTTACAAGCCTGAACTCCCCAAGCTTCTTCCTCCACCTGAGGGCTTCATGCATCCACACACCCTCGTTTTTCTTGCTGTTGTGTTTGTGTTAACTCTTGCTGCTTTGCTGTCGACAGCAACACAACTGACCGCCAACCCAGCGAACACAACGCCTGGCAGGTAGTGCAGCAATTGTGCACTGAACCTGTAACCTGGGCACCCAGCCTGAAAAACACGGAGCGTATTTCAATCTGTTCGGACATAGCCGGGTCACAGCATGCGAGGCAGGACTTTATGATGACTCACTCTCATTGCCAGAATTACCCATGATGCAGCTGCACTTTTCTGCAAGCATAAGAGTAAAATGGCAACCACAACAGAGCAACATTTTAATGATGCTTTTTGTGATGTCCTATGAAAGACTGTTCATTAATGGAAAGTTTCTTTGAGGGCTTGACATGTTTCACTGATTACAAAATTACAAACACAGAGCGCGTTGCTTGGAGTTGTTGTATAACATCTTTAGGTATCTGACTGGTTCTAACCTGATGAGGCTGACCTGTAACTATCAAGCTCTAACAGCTATTACCAGACTGATATGCCAGATACACATCGTATCAGTCTGGCTAGCCAGGCAGCCAAGCCAGTACAGTTATTCTCCAGAGGCAGACTTACACTTCACTGACTTTTATAAAACTAACAATTTGAAACATAAAAAGGCTATTGTACCCTAGCTCACTTCATATAAATATACATGTATTAGTGGCGGGCATAGATACATTTTTTTAATCTAGATTAATTTTATTGTAATTTTGGAATTAATCTAGATTAAAATCCCTAATTTTATTTCTGCCAAAGGCATTCATGATATTTGTATGCTACCTTCAGAATTTAAAATAACAGCTTAACTTTTTTTTTATCTTTGCTTCTTACTTAAGGTTTTGACAAAGATATTAATACTTTTTTTGCTCACTTCCAATTATAAACTTTGGGGCAACAGCGTTTGAGGATAATACTAAAATCTGTGTTTAGAATATCTTTTGTGATGTGAAGATCCCGAGGTTTTTAAAAATGTATCATGACTCTAGCTCTAGAAATGAAATAGACTAAACAAATACCACAGAAGCTACATTTTAAAAATGCATCCTGCTTTACCCACATTCAGCAAAGCAATCACCAAGAGGCAAACGTAACATTCTGGTAATCATTTGTGATGTCGTTGTAAAGTGAAATTTAAAATTACAAAAATATAGCATGCCTAAAGCGAAGGAGTAAAGTTCACAGCTGGCATCGATGAGGTGTACAGTAACACAGAGGTAATTATCAGCTTTAGGTGGTACTAGAGACTGGAAGAACTCCTGCAGTAAACCAAGGTGCAAACAGCTTTAGTCTTGTCGAGTTTTTCATTGGAAGGCTTCTTAAAAATAAATTTTCCTGAAGCAAACCCGGTGTCGTGCCAAGGTAGATATCACCACCAGAATTTGCATCCCCTCGCCCAGAGCAGGCACAGAGTAGGTGCTGATCGAGTTCACTACGCCTCAATTCAATAAGGGTAGTACAGCATACAGAAATTGTAGTGAATATAAAACACAAATATAGGCACCCGGGGAGCAGTGTGGAGTCAAGGGACTTGCTCAGAGACCCAGAATGCTGGCTGTGGGGTTCAAACTGGGTACTTGCAATCTTCTCAGAAGACAAGCTCGATCCTCTAACCATTAAGCTTGTCATGATGTTACAAAGTTCAGACCCAAATTCAGGAAACCGAACAGAGAGACCAGGGAAAAGGTTTAACGGGTTTTATTGAAGAAGTTTTAGCAGAGGGAGAAGTGTTGCTCTGAACACTGCTCAACCAGAACTGTAAAGTGAGGCGAAGAAACAGCGGTTAGTTCAGGCTCAGTGGGGAATATGACTCGTGAACTTGGAGAAGAGGATTTGGTTGCTGACTCACGTTTCCAGTGAAGTTGTTGAATCCTTGACTCCTGTCTTTGTGCCGTGGTTCCAATGTTTGTCTGATTTGGTGGAGGGCGGAACAGGGTTTACCCAGAATGCGGTTGAAAGTTGGTGAACGGAGAAACTGACTGCCACTCAGATTTCCTGTGGTACTTGAATGGGTCGTAGTGGAGAATAATCCCTTTCTGAGTGAGAAGCTCAGACGATCTCTTAGGAAAGTGGATCCAAACCTCCTGTTTGAACCCTAGCTCAGTTTGAAGCTCAGTTGATCCTTCCAGGGAGTCAAGGTCCTAGAAATCCAGTTTGCAGGATGACTTCCTGCCGAGAGGCAAAGACAAAAAAAAAGTTAAAGCTACAGTGTGTAATAATTACAGGCATATAAAGTCAGAAATTTAATATATTATACATAACTATGTTATTTATCATCACCTATGAGCTCAGCCTTTTAACCATAATATTTGCGTTGCCTTAGAATTCGTTATTTATAATTACATAGGAGCGGGTCTCGCAGCCATGGAGGCAGACATCTTTGCGCTACGGCAGCGCAGAGGCAACAAACTAGCGATTGCGAGATCTCCCATGACGCTCGAAAATAACTACGGCAAGTTGAGAGAGATGAACTGAGACGGTACTGAACAGTAGATGGCAGTATTATACCTGAGAAGCGTTTAGTCTGCCTGAAACCAAAGAAGAAGAAGAAGCAGGTATACTGCGCCTCAGTAACAAGAAAGGTGAACAAGGCGGCAGGCGTGAGTGACTTTGCAAACTGTTTGGCACTGTGTGGCCAAACATCAGACGAATGGAGGATCATGCCTACTGTGCATCACAACGAAAAGCGGCGGACACCGAACCCCCGTCATCTAAGAAGCGGAAACACGACGAGAATAAACGCAAGCGTGACAAGAAACGACAAAAAACACGGATCAACATTGGCACGGCATTTACACGATGGAAGTCACTGATGGAGGAAAAAGGTTTTCAAAGTGACGCTCAAGTTGCCAGTTTTCTCTTGGACAGGTAATTAATCCTACACACACAATTGTCTAATATCACTGCCGTTTTTGGAGTATAGGATGCTCAGACCTGTCTAAAACAATAACATGCTGCGTGATGATGCTGTTACTCTCCAGTATACTTATTCAGCAACGTCCCTGACGTTTCACAGGTAATGATTCAGTAATTTTCTGTAAAATGATTTTCTGGATATATACCTCGGTTACTTCTCTCCGGCTCCTTTGGAGATCTTCAAGCCTTTCCTCCTCTGCTCTCACCCCGCTGGCTCCCCTCTCTCGCCTGGCCCTAGCTGCACGCCCACCCCGGCCTCTCTGCCCTCTTCCTTTCCCTCTTCCTCGCCTTGTAACCCCCGTGCCACAAACAAGACTTGGACTCTGTAAACGGGGAATATATATTCTTCCAGCGAACACAATCTCGCTGTTAAATTACAATTACTTCGTCTGTTTATATCACCATGCAAAGCAGCTCACCAAAACGTCACAACGACGTAGAAAAAATAACGGGTATATTTATTATCTTAAGTCTACATGAAATCTATACCCTACACAGACTAATGAAATACTATCTGTAAAATTATCTATGTAAACAAACCTCATCACTTGAGAAGGTAGGTGATGCGGAAGTCGTGGAAGACATTTTGTCCCGTAACGCTCGCCGTACTGTTGGGGGGGAGAAGCGGTGGGGGGGAGACGTTCATGTTGCTGCAGTCTGCAGTCTGAACGTTAGATGTCGCTGAAAATTACACACTGTAGCTTTAAAACTTAGATTGACAAAAACTGGCAAACACTCTGGCGTCAAAGTAGTGGCAGTCAGTAGCTTAAGAACTCTCCGTTTAAGGAGGAAACCATCAGCAGGTGTGTGAGGAGGCGGACCAGAACCAGGCGCCTCCTGGTGGAGGAAGGGAGACAAACACAGAAATACAAACACAAAAACAGGAGTCCTGACAAGGCCAACACTCCCCAATGTTATGGAACATGTTGAAACGAACAAGGAGCTGTTTTGAAGCAAACACTCTCGCATTTACTTTTTTTCAATCAATGTCCCTGTCGATATTCTGCTATAACATGAGAAGTGAAGAATAAAATAAGAATGCTCATCTTTCATAAAGATAATACATCTAAAGTTTCATGTTTAGTAGCTTGGAATTGAGGCGCTGTGAACTCAATCAGCCCCTTCTACTCCGTGCGTGCTCCCGGCAAGGGTATACAAATTCTGGCAGGGATAACTACGTTGGCACGACACTAGCATTTTATAGCTGCATCCATGTCAGCACGCCCCCAGATATATACCCGCGCTAAAATATCAAGGTGAAAGTCATCATTAGTATACACCCAGCTCCAGCGCCGATAACGACCCACCACTAATATATATAATAGATAATTTGCAAAACTACCAAGTTCTTCACTAATTTTATCTTCATATGCATTGTCCAGCTTGCTTTGAAAGTGACAGTGCCCTGTAGCTGTGGAGTACTGGGGGGCAGTCTGTGTTTACAACAGTGCTCTTCTAAATGTCCCTCTAGATAGAAGTACAACTCCAAAATTACTTAGTATTGCTTTAAAGTACCAGAAATGTTGTCTTTTTGTCCAACAATTATGTCCTTCTATTAAATAGCAAAAGTTTGTATACAATGATTTCAGAATAAAATAGCATTTGCCTCAAGCTTTACCTCATTTTTTGGTTGTAAAATAGAAATTAAACCATAGTTACAAGTGAAAATGTAACATGTTTCAAGTATGAACCAAATAATTACAAGATATACAAGAAAAAAATCAGATGTCTAAATGTTTGTTTTTATCTGACACAATTTTTAGAATCTTGGTCTCACAAGGTCGGTATTTTTTGTCAGCTCTCTATAGATATTGACTTCTCTAATGAGAAAGTTTAAGTAATTGATAAATACTTGAAATTGTTTTGCAAGAAAGTGAAAAAAAGTAATTGTTATTAAACCCACAAAAGATGGCCATGACTGAAGAGTGGCATGAAGATACAAAAATACAAGATTGGAAGGCTTTGTGTTTTCGTGGATCTATCTGTAGCTCTCAGTATTTTCTTTGACAGCAGAACAAAATGGCCTGGTATTCAGTCTCACTGGGCCAATATGTAATAGTTCAAATCTGTCACACTATGTTGAAGTTTTCTTGCTGAACTCCTGCCACAACTCTGAGCTCCCTAATTGAAAATTGTTGGAAAGCCTTGCACTTAGAAGATGATACCGAGTGACAACCAAGAAGGGAAAAAGAGGGGGTGAGCTGGCAGAAAACAGACACTGTACATTATCACCAAGCTGCCTCTCAGAGGAGCTGAATCTCTTGAATCCAACCTGCTGGCTGCATAATTGCTATTTTAAGGGCAATGTTATCAGGAAAGAAATATGTTTGCTGAAGTGTATGGGTAAGTCTATATCATCGAGGTGTTTCCCTCAAGTCTGAAGTGAAGAGGCCCATCCATGTAGTATAAAATCTATGCAGTAGAGTGCTGTGGGGAATTAAACTCAGCTGTATTGATTTTGCTTTATCCTCATCATCATTTATTTAATAATTTACACATTTGCTTTGATTTTCTCTTCAGTGGGAAAGGCTACAGTTAGACAGGCATTGTCGTCTTTTAATCTGTTTGGAAAATCCATTCACTTTATCCTTTCACTCCTCATTCGCGCTATTTAACCTGTAAAGAGCCTAAAGTGTTTGACATTCATGAGAAAAAAAACAATGTTTAGTGTCATTCATATTTTGATGAATAGGCAATGATAGCTTCCAAGATTTTAGGCAGCCAAGATAAGACGTTTGTTTTTTATTTCAATCTGTTTTACTCCCCCTGGCTCAAAGGTATTCCAACACTTTAATGCTTCTGGTTAGTAATGAAAGCTTTAAGTTAGATGAGAGGGGCCAGGGTGTGCATGCAAATGATCATCCCTGTTGTAACTGACCTAACCTTTTATCATCAACAGATGAAACGTCGTTTGAAGCGGGGATTAAAGTTCAGATCCACACACAAGATGAGCCGCCATTCATAGACCAGCTTGGCTTCGGAGTGGCGCCAGGATTTCAGACTTTTGTTTCCTGTCAGGAACAACGGGTATGTTTGTCTAAACATGCTGAAATGTCTCTGATTATTCTGACGATGAGAAAAATCCTTTTAGCTCACATTACAGTCCTAGTGCCAAGTTTGGAAAAGAAAGTCATTTGCTCCCCTAAAATAAATCCATCCATACATTCATCTTCTTTTGCATATCCGGGCTCAGGACATGGGGGTAGCAGCTTCTGTAGGGAAGGCCAGCTGAGAAACATAGTCCCCCCAGCGTATCCTGGGTCTCCCCCAGAGGCATCCAATCCAGATGCCCAAGCCACCTCAACTGGATCCTCTTGATGTGAAGGAGCAGCGGCTCTACTCTTAATCCTCCCCGGATTACTGAGCTCCTCACCCTATCTCTAAGGAAGAGTCCAGACACACTACGGATAAAGCTCTAACATACATCAACATATCTTATTGTTCCAAACACAGGACGGTTTAATAATTTTTGTATTTTATAATCCTGATTCTTCTGTTCGTTTCCTGAGTTAAAGTTTAGATTAAAGATATCCTGATAGTGTACTGCATCCTCTTCTCCAGTGAGCATTAGGGGTGTAAATAATAATCTTTTTGTATCGATGCATCGACCCAACAGCCGACGATCCAATGCATCGACACGTCCACAAGAGTATCGCTTCAAGTTTTTTTTTCTCTGGTCTATTTTTATCCATTTGCTTCTCGATGACTCCCGTGCTGCGGTAGCGCTAAACCTATTTTGCCCACCTACATCGCTTCCTTTAGCCATTACCCTCTTTCCGCTTGCACGCACATACTTGCGTAAACACAGAGGCGTTATTATTTTTCAGTGAATGAGGTTTTCATAGGCCTAGGTGGAGTACAACTTTGCTACTTCTGTTATTTACTGTTGTTTCTCAAATAAAATGCATAACGATATTTCAACTTTCATTGATTTATTTCAAATTTGAAACATTTTCTAGCCTGTAAGATAAAAAAAAAAAAAAAAACGTAACCAATTAATCGAATCGTATCGTGGTTTATCCCTGAGTATCAAAAATAATTGAATCGTTGGGTCAGGAAATTGATACTGAATCGAACCGCCATGATGGGTGTGATTTACACCCCTAGTGAGCATGTTAAGATGAAGCATAGGCAATCGTCCTCAGTGTCCAAAAAGTTATCATGGTTTATGTCCAAACACCTGTAAAGTATTTTCTAAGAGTGTGATCTGCAACATAATTTTTAAACACATTATTAAAAAAGTAAAGTTTGATTCAAATAACTAAGAACATAAAACTGTAGGGAAATTATATAAAAATGTGTTTCAGCTACTTTTACATAAAAAAGCAAGAGAACTTATTTTTTACTGTTTTAGAATCAGGTAAATTCATAAAGAGGAAGGGTTTTTCAACAAAGCAGCTGCCCTAGCTGGGGTGATGACCATATATTTACTAAATAAAATACATTTGTGGCCTGGGACAAAGAAAAAAGCCAAGGGTGTGAATATAAAATGGCTGCAGTGAAAAGAGCAGCCATGTGAAAAAATACACCTGCATCCTATGGTTGAAGCCGTTCCTTCCTGGATGGGAATTGGTTTTTTTTTGTGTGTGTGTGTGTGTTGGAAAGGCAGCAGAAATACATATAGTATATATAACATATCAGTAGTTATCTATTACCAGAAATTGAGTCTCTAACGGATGCTAATGTTGGCCAAAAATTTCATATTGGTACATCCTATAAAACAACTTTACAATTATTTGTTAACTGAATATAGTGTTTTTTGACACTTTTTGCTACACCGTAGGATGATTTTTACTATTAAAGAAAACAATGTTTTAATAATAGAGCTTTAAAAATAGCACTTAGGATTTTTCTTTTTACCGTGTTTATGGAATTACTTTCCTTGAAAATATCCATCCATCCATTTTCTCCTGCTTGGTCCTTGTCAGGGTCCCTGTGGGGCTGTTGCCAATCCCTGACAGTCTATGGGTGAGAGGTAGGGTACACCCTGGACAGGTCGCCAGGCTGTCACAGTGCAACACAGGGACACCCCAAAGACACACAACCATGCACACACACACACTCACACCTAAGGACAATTTAGAGAAGCCAATTAACCTAACAATCATGTTTTTGGACTGTTGGAGGAAGCCACAGTACCCGGAGAGAACCCACACATGTACGGGGAGAACATGCAAACTCCATGCAGAAAGACCCTGGGCTGGGAATCAAACTTGTAAACTTATTGCTGCAAGGCAGAAGGGCTACCCACTGCAGCAACATGTAGTCCTCCTAGAAAATAGGTCAAGTTTAAATCTCTGCATGCAAACCCATAATATGACTGAAAGCAATGGATTTGATCAGCTGCTATATGATGCATTTGCCCTTGATTCATCCTTTCACAATTACGTGTGTTTGTGTATTTTGGTTGTGACATTCCTCCCAGCTCAGATGACTCTGGCAGGGTTGATCAGTTTGATGTATTTGCAGTAGAAAATATACTGATCTCCCTCCAAGTCTAGATTTTTCTCTTTTGCAGTAGATTCTTGTCCTTTCTACCTTGGTTTATCCAAAGACCTCTATGAGAGCTTCTTTCAGCTTGTTCCACCAATAGAATAGAAGTAGCGGAGATTTTCAGGAGTGTTAGTGGCAAAACAAATAGGCAATAACAACATACAGGTATATGAAAGAATATAAACTAAGAAAAACATTTAAAAAATCAAGTATGTTATAAATAGATGTTACATTAAAGAAAAAATATTTTCGAAAAATAAAACAGTAGTCCATAAAAATGGAATACTTAAATTAAATGAACATTTTCAAGGTAGAGGGTAAAACTTGAGCCCATCTACAGATAACATTAAAGAAACAGGAAAAGCTTAGTAAAACTATGCAAATCAAAATAAGAATTTGCAAAACACTTACTAAGGAATTCAGAATTTTGCATCAGATAGCATGGTTGAACTAACCGGGCCTGTTGGTAGCAATAAAGATTACTGAATGTGTAATGAGCTCAGAACGTAGGACCCAGAATTCAGGTGAGAAAGGCAGCGGGAAAGTTTAAAGCATTTAAAAACAGCGTTGTGAGGCCGCTCGTTAGCTGCGGCAGGCTCACTGGATTCTCTGCAGGAGTTGAGGCACAGGTCAGTGACTTTCAAACTTAAACAAGGAACAACAATAAGCATGAAAGCCACCAACCTGGCAAAGTTCAGTCTGACCCCAGAAGATGGAGTGAAGTCCAGTGGAGCAGAACTAGGTTGTTTATTACGGAGCTGGTACCAGAGACCCAGAAGAGAAGAGGAGCAGGGTCTTGTAGCAGCCAGTGCACGCAGAAGATCCAACGGATCCTGGAGGGTTAATCCAAACTTTGGTCTGAAAACAGGTCAAAGATAGACATCATGTGGAATCCAGGTAAAAGCCCGGGAACACAGGACAGGAACCGCTCAGGAAACAGACAGAAATAAACACAGGGAACGCCACAGTTAGTCTCGCTAGAAGCGAGAATGATCTGGCACCAGAGTCTGGGATAAAGAGGCATAAATAGCAGCAGGAACAGGTGGATCTGATGAGAGATAATGAGCGTAGGGCGGAGCAAACAGATGAGAGGAACAATGAAGAAAATCCAGCCTGAAGGTGCAAAGATCATGAAAGAATCTAACAGCAGCTGAGAGAAAGGATCATTGATATCGCTCTCTGGTGCACCAATGGTGTTGACATTTCTTGTAAAAGGCTTCTGTGTGTACAGCACCAATGCTGGACAAAAATAAACAAGACAGATCAATGAAAACATCGGATAGAGCAGTTAAATGCATGCAAAAAACTGAAACATGAGAATTGTCGCTACGAGATCACACTGTGGGTATGATTTTTAAACCAGTGAAACCCAGGAAAAACTGATTGAGTGACGATGTGATCTAAATGATCTGAATAGATGTCTGATTCTTTTTTTTTTTTTTTTTAAGGGAAACCATCCTCTTCTGCTGCTTTTTCCTCATTCTTTATTTTATGGTGGATATAAACCATTCGGTTCCATTACTGCCTTATAAAATTAAATGTTGTGCCTATTTTCAAAAAAGTGTTTAAAAAAAATGCCAAAGATTAAACTGTGACAAAAAAGTTTTGGTTTATTTTATATTTTTTTGGTTTATTGTTTTTACTTGATTCTTAAGTTTAGGATGGGAAGGAGGAGAATAATAAAAATATATTACAAAACAGATTAAGCATCTAAGAGGGTTTAAGGTTTTTTTATACAACATGAAAGGTTTTTGAGTTGTTAGTAAATGTTAAGTGTTTTTTTTCTTTGACTCTTTCTTTGATTTAATTTAAAAATGAACATTTTATGCAGCAGCCATAAATTATACATTTAACAAAATTAAATACAATCAAAATAGTTAAAGTCAAGAGACACAATAGACTGGTCTCAAATTAACCTGGATGTTGGAACAGTCTGATTCTTCTGAGCAAAATTCAGAACTAAACTTTACAAAATAAACCTAAGGTGTGTCTATATGAATCTGAAATGCAAATAGAAGCATACAGATACACATAAACGTAAAATAAATATATTAAAATATTGATTAAAATATATATTAAAACACTGTACACTTATATAACAAAATCAGATTTTTTTACTGAAAAAAGTTTTGAAGAACATCATAACTCGAGAACCAAGCCTATATAAATGTTACCTTTACAGTATTACCTTTAAGCGACAATCTTTGACACATTAAATAAAAGAAAGCTAAAGAGCACATGATAATTTAATTTAATGAAACACTTCAGAAGTGTTTTAGTTTTATTACTTGGTATTAGGAATAGCTTAAAATTAATTCATCCATGTCATTGTTTTTACAAAGGGGATCATATTTGTTAATAATCGGCTTTGTCATTTGACAAAATCTGAATCTGTTTGTTCAACCATCCAGATTTTAATGAATACAGACAATATAAAAGCTCAATTATGACCGAAACTGTTTGTTATTCACCTGTCTATAACAGCTGTTGTTTAAAAGCAAATAATTTCACCGGCAATCTAAGAAAGTCATTTT